GCCTTCCTGTCAACTGAAATGTAAATTGCTCATGCTCGTTTATTGGTTTTTTGTGGATTCTAGAACAGATTTTGATGGATTCTAGGTCCTAATCAATTTAGCTTATCGAAAAAAGTCGTTGACGAGTTTACCTGTTGTTATAAAAACCCTGAACCTTAAGATTCTCCAATCATCTTCATTAATGAGGGCCTGTCACAAAGGAATGAACTTTTATAAGCAGCACACATGACCAACCGGGCTATCCGGTGCAATTCAGTCTGGTCTGACGATGATGCAAGATTTTGATACGTTTGTGAGCCAATAATTTTGATTAAAAAATATCGCAGGCCCCGTTTCAAACCTGGAGATCACGGTATGGGCATAGGGACTCAAGCAGGCATGGTCTCGACCCAAATCGTCCGTCTAGCAGTGGTGATACTATTTCAATTGATACTACTCCCTCAAAATTCAATGGGCTTTCATAAAAGTTTAGTTGACGTACTTCACTTTTATCACAGAAATTACGAACAAGTCTTTCCTTACTAGTTACAGTAACCCCCGCTGTCAAATTCATTCATGCTGCGGGGTCGTGGAACTTTAGCGATATCCTCTGGTAAGACCACCTATAGTACTTCTTCTTCCTTTTTCTTTTTCGGCTTCCCTTCTTCGTTGGTCCTACCTAACCACAAAATAAAAAATGTTCCGGTGTGTTTGCAACTGAAGTGAAAATTCAGGAAAAATATAAAAATGCATGGCGCACATTTTTCATTTTCATTTCTTTTTTCGTTCCGATTGGATAGACAGAGGTGACAAATTGGGGGTGACTCTCTCCTTCTCTTGCTCCATCTCTTACTTTTCGTCACATTTTTCCTTTTTTTGCTGAAAACAATCTCTGAATCTCTAGAATCTCTAACTTTTATCCACTATCTTTTGGCCTTCTTCCGTTTCCGTCATTTTCTTTCTGAGAACGAAAAAGAAGAAGAAGAAGAAGGAGTACTACTTTCTTTTTGCCTCCCAGCTTGTGTATGCTCACTTTTTTGCACAAATACTACTTGCTCCATCTGCGTCTCTCTCTCCCTCACTCTCCATTTTTTTTCGCTGTGTTCCATTCCCATCATCATCATGTTTTTTTTCTTCTCTAGTAACACGCAACAGAAATCTCCTTTTTATTTATTAGCTCACATTTCTTCGAATAAGGAATATATTGGAAATTATTGTCACTTTTACAGTCTCTCACAGATCATATGTTGACACTCACCCACCCATTCTAGGAGTTGTTGCCCTCTTTCCATCAATTTCAGATTATTTTTTAAGCTTGTCCTGTTTGAACTGGCATTGGGAAAGTGTGATTTGGAGTTCCTAGTTTTTGTCAGTTTTTGTTTTTTTTATGAGCAAATCATAATTGAATTTCGTCTTTCTGAAGGCTTGGGTAAACTGTTTTTGATCGATTTTGATCCTTTTTTTTTAGTACGATGCAACTCTAAAAGAGGTAGACGTGTTATTAGGTGTTTTGTTCAGTTCCGTGATTATTCCTCATAAACAAATCATGTCATAAGTAGTCTGACAACTTACAAAATCAGTTATGAGCAATTCTTTCGATTCCTGTTTCCGTCAGTCAATTTCAGTCATTCACAAATATAAGGACATGCACCTGTAGCTCAGAATTTTCTCCGTGAACATGACTCTGTGTTTCATAATTGAAACGATATACCGTAAATCCGGTAACAGATGTCCACCCAGCACTGCTTGTTGAGAGCAGCATATCTCGGTTGCCTTCAATGCTATCAAAAAGTATTCAACTAAAGGAATGCTAATCAAAGCATTTTCAACGTTTTTTCAGTTGATCACTTTTTGAAATTTTTGAAGAAAACTGAGATATGCTGCTCAGAACATACAGTACTGGATGTGCCTAAATTAAAGAATTTACTACATCTCAGCTACTGTCAGAGGCACTCAAAAGTCATCATTTGACATATTGTTGACCATTAGATTTTATTACGCTCTGTTAGTTGACATCCAATGTTCTGACTCATCTTATCTTCTTGAATGGCTTCTGATTTATTTTAACACTGAAGAATTTGAAATGATTTATAAGTCATTCAAAAGAATTGAAGCTAATCCTGCACACGCCAAAGCACAAAGCATCCATTTGGTTAGATCAGGATCTTTAACAGAAGTGCACTTATTTTTCAAACTGTATAGAATCCTATAGTCTCCATAGAGCAGTTGCAAGCAACCTGGATATCTGGCCAAATTCGAGGTGTCGTAGATTATGATGTCAAGTCTTCAAACACTAAAATTGACACTGTAGCTTAACATTGCACACAATTTTTCAGGGACTTTTCTACTGTAACAAAGGTACCCACAGTATTGTATGTTCAGAGCGTATATGCTGCTCCAAACAGGGATCACTTTGTGTAATACGTATTTTACAATATGCACTTTCGTTAACTACTTCTTGTTGTTACAACAACAAAGTTCTATTCTTGGAACATTTTGCATAATTCAACATGAAAAGTCCTTTGCAACCAACTACTTCCAATAGTTTCATAGCATTTATATGACCTCTCAAATTCAATATATTCCCCCATATAACCTCCCTTTGATGCACTCAAAAATTCAAAAAAGTCTATTCGAACTTCTAAAAACGAAGTGTCCTTCTTCTTCTGTTGTCCCATTGAATTTTTAATAACTTTTTCCTTCTTTTTTCCCTATTCTTCTCACGTGCTTTTGACACTCTTTTGTGTTCTTTCTTCAAAAAAAAAGTCCTAAAAAAGTTCAGAGGCACTTCTTTTTTCCCTTCAAAGAGTCACTCCACAAAAACTGAAATTCTATATCTCTGAATTTTTCATTTTTTGTCGTTTTTCCTCTTCCATTTTTTGGGGCCTTCTCGTCTAACAGGTCTAACAGATGTTTGATCTGAAATGACAGACTTTTTTCAGACTTTCTTTCTCAAAATAATTCCAATTCTGTTCATGTATAGGCCCTAAATCTAATTAGCATTCCAAAAAAAAAAGCGAGAGAAAATTCTCAGAATATAAATATACAGAAAACAAAAAAGAAGAAGAAATGAAAAAAGAAGAAGAAGAAGAAGAAGCTGTGCATCTCACATAGATAGATACACTCTCAGTTTCTTCTTGTGTAACGTCTGCTCTGAGGTCCCCACCCGAATGTCGCAATTATATGTCCACATTTCCTCTTTCCGCCACCCCCAAACACCCTACCCTCACATTCGAAAAGAAAACGAAGAAGCAAGGAAAAAGAACTTTTCACATTCACATAAACTCGCTGAACTTTTTTGATTTTTTTTCCAAATTGGTACTGTGTTTCTTTGATTTTTCATTTGAACTCAAAAGCTTCATTCCATTTTCAGCAGTTCCCACTTCTTTATTTTCAGCTCGCTATCTTGAATTATTCCTAAACTTTTAGAGCGTTCAGAATTACTGGAAACAAGAACTGTTTCAGCTTGATTTTCTCTCGAAGTCCTTTGTTTCAGTCCCGTTTATTCTAAAATTGTCTTCTAGAGATTAGAACTCAAAAACTCAAAAAGAAAAAAAAGTAAAAAAAATTTTACCCCACGAAGGAACCAACCTACCCCTTGTCGCATAGAAAACAAAAGCTTTAACCACACGGCCACCACGTTCTTTTGCCATGAGGGGGTCCTAGGCCATAGAGGAGAGAGGTCCATCCGGAAAGAAGCGCGCCGTTACTGTAATTGCAAGATTTAAATTATCTGATTTTCAAAATTTGAATTTTTATATTTTTCCCATCATATCTCTCAAAACAGAGAACACAAACTTCTTCCCAATTCAAATATTCCTATTCAAAATTCATCTCTCATAAAAAAACACACATTTATCACCAAATGACGCAAGTTGTTAGAATATATGTTCTGAATTCCGCAGAAGAATATGTGTCGGTAATAACTATATAGAAAAAGAAGAAGAATGTGTTGTTGATAAAAACAGATTCCGATAAACAAGAAGAAAAAGAAGAGTAATTCGTCATTTTTGTGTCATTTTTGTTGAACGAAAAAATGTTTTGTGGTTTTTGAGAACAAATATGGAACAGGAGGACACAAGTTTGAGAGAGCTCGTTGGACTTTTCAGGAGGTTTTTCTTGTTTTTAGGGGTTCCGGAAAATAAAATCAGCTGGAAGTTCCCATTGGGATTTGAATACAAAAAATCGGGTCTCATTCTGTTGTAAAATCTTTAGACTCCCTGAGTTTTTGTTTTTGTTCCGCATGGTTCGAATTGCCTGCGTTACGGTGTTCGCGGACTCGGCATCACATCTTACGACATTTTGAATTTTCAATAATGATCCAGACCCAAAGATCCAAACCCGGAGTTTTTTGATCGTTCAAAATTGTGCAAAAATCTTTTCATAATCTTCAGTTCCCTTTGTTCCCTCATCATCCCATAGCTATTCAAGTTTCTGATCACTGAAACAGAATCTCATTTTTGATTCCTGCTCCTCCTAATCTGCTCCTAATCTAATTATCCCTCTCCTTCCCTTTTTTCCCTGAGATTCCATTAATTTTTTTGTTATCAGTTTCGATATTTGCTGTTCTTGAGTTGAACTCTCTAATTGAAAAACAAATAATATTGACCTTCAATCTGATCTCTTTTTCTTTCTCTTCAAAGATACACGTATCCCATTTCTCAGATTAAGATCATCCTTGCTCTTCTCTCTCTTCTTCATTTTACATGTGTTCGATTTCATTTCCACCCTCATTTCTCTCCCTATCGATCAGATCATCTGTTCATCTTCTTTTTTCTCTGTTAAAGATAAAGAAATAGAGAAGGAGAGAGCGTCAGGTGAGTGGTGCCTCTAAGAGCATCACCATCTCACACGTGATGATAACGAGTAGAGAAATGAAGAAGGAAAAAGTAACGGAGGAATTTGTGTTTGTTTTCTTCACATTTGTCCCGCACTACGATTCACCACTTCGTTAGTTAGTTTTCAGCTTGTTGATTGTCAACACCAGATTTCTTTTTTGTTTTCACCTTTTTTCTCATCGCTAGCCACCAGGGGGATTGAACCCGACACCTTTTGGGCGGCAGGCAAAAGTGTAACCCACTTAGCCACGCGGACACTCCGGTTTTGTTGAAAGTAAGCCATAGAGAACAGTGACCCTTTTTGAGGGCCATTAGGATCGGTATCAGAAGTGCGAGTGCGAATCACAAATTATGAAAAAAAAAGAAGGAAAAATAGAAGAAGGAGGAGGAGGAGGATGTGAGGATTACGAGGTGATGGAAGCAGCTCAACGAGCATCTTCTTCTCTCCCACCACCATCATCCACTAATCTTATCCTTTTTTTTCGCTTTTTCTCACCAGATTTCTTCTTCTTTCTACTTCTTTTTCTTCCGAACTCTGACATTTTCAGTTATCACGTTAACTGGAATTTCGGGAATCCACACTTCCTCTTTTACAAGAGCAGTGATCTCATGCAGAAGATGTGTTATTTTTAGCTAGTGGAACTTCTGAAGCGTTTCTCAAAATCAGAAAAATATTTTCGTGACCAAAAACGAAAAAACGTGATTAATGCACTCCTTCGCATGAGATTTACGTCATTAGAAGGAAAGATAAACCCGGGATCAAAATCTTTTTGGAAAGGGACGGCATCGATCAGGGATTTTCTGAAGTTTTGGAAAGATAGGGGGGAACATTTTGAGGTCTGGAAGATTGTCATCAAGATGAAGACGAATTCAACTGATTTTATTATATTTCCAGAATTTTTCTAGATTATAAAATCCCAAAGAAAAGTTTGAGAGGCATTCCCTGAGAGAATTTAGCACTGCCCGTTATACCGATGCCATTAGGAATTCTAGAATTGGCTGAAACTTCGTCTAATGGGTGTACAAGGTCCCCTGAACACGATGGTCCATTTTTCTTTGGTTCCGCCCCTTTTACAGCAAGCTACGCCCACTTTCAGTTCAAAGTCTCATTATTAGCATTTTTTGAATTTACACCTTTAAACGATTGCCAAAAATCCATGGAAAATTGATCCCAAACGTTCAGTTTTTTTTCACAGATAGTTGCACAATTTATTTTCCTGCTTTGCTCATATTTCTATTAATTTTTTTTTGGAAAAAAATCAGTTTTTGTCTAAAACTTTCAACTTCCACCGGACCTCATTTTCAGGAAGCTTTTTTTGAATAAAAAAAAAGAGTTTCTTGGTCCTATCCATGACTACGACAAGAATGGTTCCCAAACTTTTCGAATTCTCAAAAATCAATAATTCAATTTTTAGACCATCCTTCATATTTGAACCGCCTACCCTATAAAAAATGAAATCAAAAATCAATAATTCTCACAAATACCCCCTGTCCAACTGAAAAAAAACTAACTTTCACTAGGCACGTGTATAGTAGAACTGAACAAAAAAATCAGTCAACACCTCTCCTCTTTCTCTCGTTTTCCGTAAATATACACAACTTTATGCACTGCCTAAGCATCACATGTGTCAGTATGTGTGTGGGGGTGATTGGTTGATCATCAACTTGATATTGAGAATGACAATGACCCTTTTGATTTTTATTTGAAAATTGATTTATTTGGAAATCTTTTCGAGAAGAAAGTTCGTCAAAAGTGTTCCCATAGTTCGTTTCTTTCCGGAGGTTGTTTACGCAGCCGCGCCTCCCCGACCCAGGATTTATTTACGATTTTTTTGTTCTTTTTGTGAGTTTTGCAAGCGAAAATTAGGATCGACCAATTTAGATTCCTTTGTTTGGTTTTTAACCAAAAAGTTTTTGAAATAGTGCAAAAAGAAGGAACTAATAGTATCCATTTGGGAATTGAGAATGAATTCTTTGTCAGTTCCGGAGAATTCCTGGATGATCGATGTGCGCTCTACTGAGAATTCAAAATATATCAGCTTGAGGTTTTACAAACTTGCTCTATTGCTAAATCTTTCTCATTATGTAATGAGAAAAATATCCCTAAACTTTGAACTCTTCCCCCCTCAAACTTTGGGTCCCAAACAAACCAAAGTTTGAAACAAAATCCATTACTAATTCTTCTTTTCCCCTTCAAAAAAGACCATTTCATGACCAACCCCTCTCTATAAGTACTCTCTATATTTTGTGGTCATACCCTCTTCCTTTCCTCTTCCGGTTTCAAACGAACTTTTTGAAAAAAATGAAAAAAACGAAAAATATTTTTCAGAAGAGAAAAAAGAATTGAAATGTGGTTTCTACGCAGTCGAGTATTTGGTTCATCAGCAGATCAGAATGAAAGGGATCGTGGTGAGTATTTTGAAAAAGTGATTCATAAAAAATTTGAAAAATTGCAAAATAAGACGAAAAACCGCCAATTTTGAAGTCAATGACTGGCATTGAAAACACGTCCTCCACTCTAAGCTTTGACCGAAAACTAAGTTGGCGTAAAATACAGTGCCAAGTCTGCAAACACCTTCAGCTGACACCTATTTTCAAAGTAATGAGAAAAAATTCATAAAAATGGTGAACAAAAAATTGGAACTTATGACGAAACCGCCCGTTTTGGAGTCAATGACTGGCATTGAAAACATGTCCTCTCTAAACTTTGACCAACAACTGAATTGTCGTAAAACACAGTGTGTCGAGTCTGCAAACACCTTTAGCTGACACCACCACGTCAGATTGCAGACCCCCAAAAAAAATCAGAACCGAAAACTTCAATTGCTAAGAGAATGTCAATTTTTTGTTAAATGGAAACATCTGGCAACTTTTTTTCGTTATCTTTCAACCCTTTTTGACAGTTTTGACAGACTTCAGCATGATAAGAGAGGTCGGCCACTTTGAATGAAATTGACAGTTTGTCAAAACGAAAGTTCGACTAGAGAACACGAGAAATATCTGCAATCTGACGTGATGGTGTCAGTGTTGGTGTTTGCAGACTCGGCTGCATACCTTACGACAATACAAATTTCAATGCAGCACTTATTTGTTATTGAAAAAAACCCATCCTGTTTTACTTTTGGCGCTGGAGTTTCAGACAACTTTCACGAGTTTTTCACGATTTCCCCCCAGTGATTAATAATGTTTGCCCCCTGAAGCCCCCCTCCCTTCTCATTATCAGTTGGGTACACAACACAAATATCTACTTACATTCCTAATCCGCTATCAAAAAACACAAGAACCCTCATCATACACTCCATCGTTTTCACTCAAAAAACAACAAAGAAAACTGTGAAAACAAAATGACAAAAAGTAGAAAAAAGTGATAACGAAATGGAGAAACCAAGTTTCAAAACAAAAAGTAGAAGGAAAAAAGGAAATGAAAACAAAACACATCAATATTTTAGAAGATGAAGACGCACCGAGACGAATCATGGATGCACTGAGCTACAGGAGACCTGTAAGTGATACCTTCACACTTTGTTCCCTTTCCTTGAAATACAGTTATCATGTCATGGAAAATGAGTCTCTTTCTCTCTCTCTACTCTCTCTCTCTCTCTCTTTCTTTTTTTGTTTCTTGAAAAAAAGTGGAGTGAGGAGACGGATTGACGGCAGTTTTTTGTCCATAGACACGCACACTGCCACTGTAATTATTATTACCAAAAGATTGTTGTTTCTTCGAATCGTGTCTTTGTTATTAATACATTACCTTTCTTTCATTCATTCTCTTCAGTTAGTTTTCTTCTCGTTTCCTATTTTTTGAGTTTCCTGATTCCAAGTGGTTCTACCTATTCCAGATCCAAATTTTTTCGAGAAAACTACGGATTAGGGTTGAAAAGTGCAAAATACTGTAAAAGTAAAGAATGAAAAATGAACATTTTGATCCCTAGAGGTATTGAACCTGGCCCCTGTCGCATGTAAAACAAAAGCGGTAACCATTTTTCGAAGGTCCAAGAGGGGGTAGAGAGGCAGGTGAGTCACCTGTCTCTCTGAGGTGACTGTGAGCGATTTGTGCTAAAAGTATGGAGGAGCTTCTGAGAAGATTTTTTCACGAATTCCATAAATTGTCAAGGAAAACAACAAATTTTTTGGAAAAAAAAATTGGCTTTTTTTTTCATTTCATAGTCATTGAACATCACTTTTTTCTTCCAGACTTTTCGAAAGAAGCCGTTTTCAGCCAAAAATCTTAAAAGTTCTCACCCTTCCTTTCCAAATTATGCGCATATTTTTACAGTAAAACTTTGCAAAAGCTTCCATTTCCTATAAAAAAAACCTTCCGTTCCCACTTTATTATTCCGCCTGCAACAACCTATAAAAGTTGTTCAGCTTCCATCGTTTCATTTTTATTTATTTCATCAGTTTCCTTCTCTTCTTTTTGGTAAGCCTTTTCCAAACGGTCATGCAATTCTATTAGAGGTTATGGTTTTCTTTCTCAAATTGTTTCCCTTTCTCCTCCTCCTAGACACACATCAAAATCAAAGTATCAGCTGCAAATTAGCTACACGCCGAATCTGAAAAAAACGGTGAATGATAACAAAAATTCTTCTCCTGCAACACAATAAATGTATACAAAGCGGTCAAATTGACCCTTTTGTCGGCTGATTTCCCCACCTGTAGTACGTAAATACTACAACAAAGAAAAACAGTAATGAGAAAGGGAAGGAAAAGTTGACAACAAAGACGAAATTTCAATAAATTGGTAATGGAAATGGCAGGGAAGAAAGCTGAAAGCAAAGAATAACCGGTTTCTTTTTCTTCACTTATTTCGAAACCTCACGAGAAAATAATTTCAGTTTTGAATGAATCAGAAGTTGCTTCTGTAAATTTTTTTGATGGACACCTAAAGAATGAACAAAAAATGACAGCTAGAATGATAATGGAGACACCCGAAAGCCATAAATAATGATCAGAGGTCGATGATGCCCCTTTTTTTCGGCAGTCGTCAAACTATTCTTCCATTCGGTAGTAGCTTTGAGAAAAAGAAGAAGAACATCCTTCTTTTGATGTTTGGAGGAGGAGAAAGTTCTTCTGATGATATGTCCTTTCGAAAAATGATGATGATGTTCTTTTGTTTTTGTGGGAGAATTTCGAGTGCAATTTCTTGCGGTTAATTGTATTTGTAAGTTATCTCATCCGTTAGAAAAATAACAAAAATGTTATTTAGAAGGGGGTGGGGTCTGGTACATCGACCACTAATTTTGGAACTGTTGATCA